AATAGAATAGAATAGAATAGAATAGAATAGAATAGAATAGAATAGAAGAATATAGAATAGCATAGAATAGAATAGAAATAATAGAATGGAATAGAAATAGAATAGGAATAGAAATAATAGAAATAGAAATGGAATGGAATGGAATAGAATAGAAATTAGAAGAGCAGAGTAGAGTAGAGTAGAGTAGAACAGAACAGAATGAAGGAATAGAATGGAATAGAAATAGAATAGAAATAGAAATAGGAATGGAATGGAATGGAAATAGAAATGGAATGGAAATAGAAATAGAATAGAAATGGAATAGAATAGAAATTAGAAGGATAGGATAGGATAGGATAGGATAGGATAGGATAGGATAGGATAGGATAGGATTGGAATGGAATGGAATGGAATGGAATGGAATAGAATAGAATAGAATAGAATAGAATAGAATAGAATAGAATAGAATAAGGTAATAGAATGGAATAGAAATAGAATAGAATAGAAATAATAGAATGGAATAGAAATAGAAATGGAATGAAATGGAAATAGAAATAGAAATTAGAAGAATATAATAGAATAGAAAATGAATAGACTAGAATAGGAATAAATATTGGAATGAAGAATAGCATAGCATAGCATAGCATAGCATAGCATAGCATAGAATTCTTTATTGGCCAAGGTTGATTGGACACACAAGGAATTTGTCTTCGGTGCATAAGCTCTCATTGTACATAACAGCTATAAGTGACAAATCATGATCACAGTCATCATAAAAAATACATTCATCAGCCCAACAGATAGATAGTCCTCGGCTTATTAGTGACCATTTAAAGTTACAACCCCCAGCCCTCCTTTTAGGGATACTTAGGACTTGGTTCTGAAGTTTTTATGCCCCCACCCAACACACAATCACATGACCACATTTGGCGCACTCAGCAACTGACTTACTTTTATGGCCATTTGCACTGTTCCACAGTTATATGACTGTTTTACAGTGGTTTTTCCCCCCCGAAACCTAACATTTACTTCTGATTTTTGGCACAATCGGCCCCATAGGAAAGAATGGGTTTGCTTAAAAAAACACAGCATTTGCTTTGTGACTGCAATGGTCACTTTGGGAGCATGGTGTTCACTTAACCCCTGCCACAAAAATGGATGTAAAATTGGGTTGATGCTGTGGGAGACTTGCTTTACGACTGTCACGACTGTAATGGACAGGCTCCATGAGGGTCATACATTGAGGGCTACCTGTAGAACAATCCAAGCAAAAATTAAAGTTTTTATTTGCTCACGTCCAATAGACAGTAACTTGCCAGATTAAACCTTTACCTAAACCTTGTAAAAAAAATATCTTGAGAAAAACAAGAAGGACTTGAGAGGCTCCTTTGCACGGTTCCCACCGATTAATCGATGTCTCTGTCTCAGGATTTGTTCAGCCCTACCTTCTCCAAGTCTGCACAGCTGCCAAAATCTTGTTCCGACAGGTAGCTGATCAGGGACTGGCCTTCCGTAGGCCTCCGGAACATCCCTTCACCTGGATGCAGATACTGGGGGGTGTCGGGGAGGGAGGGGGGGGGGGGGGGAAAGGAAGTTGCTTTCAAAACAAGTGAAGGTGAATGTATGAGTCTCAGGAGAACATTGCTGATAATATCTATCTGTATCTATGTTTGTCTATTTTTGTCTGTCTCTTTCCTTTCTTTCTTTCTTTCTTTCTTTCTTTCTTTCTTTCTTTCTTTCTTTCTTTCTTTCTTTCTTTCTTTCTTTCTTTCTTTC